CCAAACCAATATGTCCGTTATAACGAGGTTCGACTGTATCATGATCTTCTTCATAATAATAATCGTTAATAAATAACGCTGTCCTTAACCTTATTGTCTTCGGATATTATAGTTTGAGTAATGATAATAAATATATCTCTAACAATGAATTCATACTAATTCAGTGTATAACCATTTTCTCTCATTTTTATATTATTGTTATTTTTTTACTATCTTTACTATCTTGCCAGGGGGGGGGGGCTTTGATAAATATAGTTGTATAAATCTATTTCTTGTAATTTTATTTTATTTTAGAGTAAGCTTAGGCCAAAGTCTAAGAATAGTGAAATCCTAGCTAGGTGTGGCCAGTCAAAACTTAACCAAATATACAAAGGAGTAAAGCCAGACGAACCGAGGCTAAATAATCAAAGAATAAAGCCTAACGTACCGAGGCGGATATTACAAATATATTGGAGACGTGCCAGCTCAGGCAAATAACAAAGAACTGCTGAGAAAACGTTACTGGAAGGGGGAATAAAATTCCTCCCTCAGGATTAATAGACAAAGAGCTATCAATAACACAAACAAGAAAGCAATTGCAATCGAGATTAAAAATATCAAGGAGCATTCAATCGTAACTGTATAAATTTAAGAAAAATATTATTATAAATAAAATATTGAGATTCACTGTGAGACGCGGAATTCGACATCACAATATATTCTTTTTTTTTTGAATATATTAGTAATTTGGAAATTGAGTTATGATGATAAAATAATGGTTTTAACAAATAAAATTGAAATAAATGCTTTTATGATAAAAAAATTTAACGGTCCAAACGGTCTTTGATACCTAAGACCGGACCGGACCGTTAACATCCCTATTTGTTTATTATGAATTTTTTTTTAAATCTGTATCTAGAATTTATGACAAAATTACATTTACAATGTAAAACTACATCAATATTTTTAGATTACGGCTCTTTTATGTTGTAGAGACATGTTTTGCGAACTCAAAATATTTTTCGGAATTATGCTTTTTTTATAATAATGATCGACGAAAATCCTTACTGATTGATTTATTATTATTTATATTATTTATAATTAAATATGCGTGATCCAAAAACTCGCATCAATTTGTATTTATTTTTTACCTATTCTATATAAATGAAATCCATCTTACTATTTACTAACTTTAAAAAAAAAGATTTTTTGATTTAAAAATAAATAAGATGAATTATTTAATTCAAATCCAAACAAATTAAATTTTTTTTAAAAATAAATTTAATTTTTTTCAAAAAGGAAAAAATTAAATAATCAAGGAAAATAATATATAATAAAATAAAAAAAAGATGTCAAAATCTAAAGAAAAAAATCTTGCAACCCATTTTCTTGCAGGTGGTGGAGCTGGTTTAACGGAGGCGTTATGTTGTCATCCATTGGATACAATTAAAGTGAGAATGCAGTTAAGTAAAAAGGTAAATAAAGATATTATAATTATTAATATATATATTATTATGATTAAATTTATTATACATTTCATCATCTAATACACATATGAATAAAGGCACAAAGGCCAAATTTCATTACAGTAGCAATTAATATCATACAAAAGGAAACACCTTTAGGTTTATATAAAGGTTTAGGTGCAGTGGTTACTGGGATTGTACCAAAGATGGCTATTCGTTTCTCAAGTTTTGAAATGTATAAAGGATGGTTTGCTAATAAATCAACAGGAAATGTTTCAACAGTTGCTACATTCTTTTGTATGATTTCTTTAAAAATTTTATTTATTTATTTATTCATCAATTTGATTTCTTAATTTCTCTTGATTACTAATTACTTTCTCTCTCCTCACTCTTGCTATATATAGCCGGGCTTTTAGCTGGTACCACAGAAGCAGTATTTGTTGTTACTCCAATGGATGTAATTAAGATTCGGTTACAAGCTCAACATCATTCTATGACTGATCCGTTGGACATTCCAAAATATCGTAATGCAGCACATGCAGCATTCACAATTGTTAAGGAGGAAGGTATTTCAACTTTATACCGTGGAGTTGCATTGACAGCTCTTAGACAAGCAACAAATCAAGCTGTCAATTTTACAGTGTATCAAGAAATGAAAAAGTTAATGAAAAAATTACAAGGAACAAGAGAAGGACAAGAATTACCAACCTACCAACATTTATTAATGGGTGGATTTAGTGGTGCAATGGGTAAATTAATTTTTGCTTCAATAATAATATCATTACTATTATCCTTAATATTAATGTTTTTATTATTTCTAGGTCCAATTGCGAATGCACCAATTGATACAATAAAAACTCGTATTCAACGTGCACAAAGTACAGAAACAGGATGGAAAAGATTTAAAACAGTTACTAGCTCATTAATCAGGAATGAAGGTTATTTAGCTTTTTATAAAGGACTATTTCCTCGTTTAATGCGTGTAGGAGTGGGACAAGCTGTTACTTTTGCTGCTTATGAAAGAATTAAAATTTATATAGATATATTTTCTAAAAAAGGATTTCTTACTACAATTACAGATGATTCAGTGTGAAAAATAAAATTATATATAATGTAATAATTATTATAATAACTATTTATTATTAAATTAATTAATTAATAAAATTGAAATAGAGGGAAATTTAATATGAAATTTAAAAAAAAAAAAATTCCCACTTTTTATTTTTTTTTGTGAATGAAATTGCAAATCTTATATTTATCTGTAACAACACCAGATTGGCATCAATATATTGCTTGTGTAATGTGTCATGATTTTGTCTAGACAAAAATAGCTAATATGAAACTCATATTAAGCCTAGGGTTGATTTAGAAAACCAACTCAATAAAATAAAATAGAGAAAGTTACTGAACAGGAGCATAGTAGACACTGTTGCAGATCACAAAAAAATGATCAACATAACATATGTTATGGTGAAAGTTCTTGCAAAAGTTTGATTATAAAAGTGTGAGATAATTTTGATCTTGCTGATGATCTGGACTTAGAGAGGTTACAGCTATATTCTAGTGAAGTTTCAGAAGCAACGGATTCTGTGTAACCACCTGCATATTATACAAATGACTGTTGATCTGCAACAGTGTCCACTATGCTCTGAACAGGTGGGAATATTACTAGTTCTTTTGCTATTTTAATTATTAAGATAGTGAAGATTAAGAAACATAAGAGTTAATTATGTCATCTAACACTTTTTTATTTAGTATAAAAATTATTCAATTACATTTTATGCTGGCTTAGGGCAAGTGATATCTTTGTATTCATCTTTCACAAATGGATAAATATTCTGGCAAAGATATTCTTGCCTTTTGTAGTCTAAAGGAGGTGGTGTTAACACTAAAATAGATAAAGATTTAATCTCTTCAAAAATATCTGCTTTCTTAATTTTCAATAAATTGAATTCAGCCAAAGGTCCATTAACAACTTCTTGAACTTTTACTGTACCAAGATTAGATGCTTCAAAAAGAAAATTTTAATATTTCTGGATGCTTGGTAATTTCTTAAAATAAATTCCCAAGTTGCTTTAATATCTAAGTATTGAAAACCCTTTCCACCTTCATAACATTGTGCTTTATTTAAAATCAAATTGTTCCATTATTTTTATTTATTATCACAAAGTAATCTTTAATTGAAAAATATCTTATTAGTCGTGTGACATTGGGTCCACATCATATGAAGGATTTTTCGTCGATCTTTTTTTTAATAGTAAACTTTTAACGAAAATAACTCTTTAAAGAACAGAGATACAGATTCCAAATTAAGTTTAAAATATATTAGAAGGATAGGGAAATGTCTCTATAGAGTGTTTTTTTTTAATTTTAATATAAATCATATCACTTCTTCTAAAAAAGGAAAGTTATGTATATATGATACAAAATTTTATGCAAATAAAATTGTAAAAATCTCTCTATACGCCTAAAGATCATCAAAATGCGAATCCAAACCATGTCATTTTATTTAGATACGTCATATAGTTTAAGAGTTATTTCGATTTTTGTAATCTTGCGAATATATTTTGACTAAATTTTAGTGTTACATCTAAATTTTATAATTTCTATATAGCCAAACAAACAATTTACAGCCGTTAAAAATATTATTATATAATAATTATTCTAATCAAAGTTGTGTTTGTTATTAGTAATTTTTAAAATTTTTTTGTGGCATCAAAAAAATAACAATAAATCCGCAAAACTCCTAAAAAATCCTTATCAGTTATACTTTCTGTTATTGTTGTAATTAATTACAGATTTTTAGAACCGTAATCCCGTAATTATTACGGAATTACGGTGCCAACTATACATATTAATATGGCGTGATTTTTTGGATTTAAATTTAATTCTATATTGACCCGAATTATAGTGTCGCGGTCACCTTTCCTCTTTTATAAAGTACATATGTAAACTCGATAAGTCGGCCAAAATTTTCACCCATTTTCTTAATATTCAAGTAATTTAATTCGATAAGTCGGTTTACTCGATGAGTCGGTCATATGAGCTCACACCCACATGACCAACTTATCGAGTTTACATATGTACCTTCGAATCATAGTGTTGGCAGTGAGTGACATTCAATAGTGTTTTCCTGGTCCTAGTGGGCAGATCGATGATAAAATTTCATTGCGTGTAACAATAAAATTAGGGCACGTAGATCAATTTAATATTAAAGAAAGTACGCGGTTTCCCGTTTTGTTAATCTTAAGCAAACAGGGTCTAACATCTTCGCCAGTTATAATCTACATGTTATAGATAGTATTATGTAAAAAACACAAATTTGGCCAAAAAAACTCGGTGGTGGTTTTGCTAGAGACAGTCCTGTATGCCAATTTTGGATAAAGGTCTCTATTACTTACCATGATTTTTAATCACTTAAAACAGATAAGACACAAAAAGAAGACAGAGAAATATTGATCTTGCGTCAGAGCTACAAATTATTCATACCAAATATTGTCTCGTAAGTTTATTGTTATTTTTTTAATAAAAAACTTTAAAGTTTAAAATCAATGATTATTTCTTTTTAAGTGTTCTTTGTTTTTCCGCATGCTCTACAATTTTTTTATCAGTTGACATACCCTTAAAAAAATTTAAAATTAGATTAATGTATTTTTTCCCTCTATATAAATATAAAAAAATTTACTACAAAAATGGTTTAAACTTGAAGAAATAAACACCTTGCGTTTCCTTACACCCTCCATATATTTTTTAGCTAAATTTTCTCGATCTGATTTTTCTCCCAAGTCCTCAAGTTCTTCTTCTGTAGTTGGAACCCAAAATGGATCTTCATTTAACATCTCAAACCTTTGTTTCACGATTTCATATTATATAAAAAAAGAAGGTTTTATATGATTGGAAAAAATAATAATAGTAAACTAAAAGGAAATCACATTTTCTTACCCACTAAAGATTAATTGTGGAATAGCTGCACCTGAAGTTCTTTTTCTTATCTCTTGATGTAAAAAGTATTTTTATTATTTAATTTACGTGGAATAAATATAATTTAGTAAAATTGATTTCAAACTTTCCTTACCATCAGCAAGTCCAAAACTCTCTACTACAGGTAAAAGAGCACGAATTTGGAAAAAAGGAGTTCCTTCCTTAAGTTCCTCAGAAATAATATGCCCCCGACGTCGTGATATTACTGCATATACACGACCAAGTGCCTCAGCTGTTTAAATTTAATGACATAAATACCTTTTTTTTAAAAAATAAAAGGACACACACACATATATATATATCGAACTTAACTAGTTACTTGAATATCACAAGAGTACATAGCCAACATTAATCTTGGCGACCATTCCAAGAAACTTTGTCGACAAACATCTCTCATTGTTGTTATAATTTGACCGCTTAATTTTTGGCGTACTAAAAATAGATAATTTATTGTAAAACATGAAAAAATTTAATGTATGTATGTATTTATGAAGGCAACTTTTAATATATACTGACACTCTGAAATGTCGACATTATCGCCATCTATTTCCACTTTAAAATCTTCCAAAAAATATGCTACACCCATTAATGGCTCTGAACAAAGTGGCCCAGCTTTTGTTGCTAATTGAAACCCTGTATTAATACTTTCATCAAAATTTTGAAGAGTAAGTTCTTGCAAATTATGTTCCTTAGTAGCTTCAGATGAAGTTGATGAGGTTGAGCCAGGAATTTTAGATTCCTTTAAATTTTGCCGCCATCTTTAAAAAGTATATTTATTATTGAATTAAAGAACAAAACTCGAAAAAATATTTCCTAATATCCAAAAAACATTGTAAAAGGATACGATCTTGTATAATTTGGAATATGATTTATTAAAATATTTGGTCCAATACGTTTAGGACCAAATGCCCAAATACTAAAAAAGATATTATATATATGAAAATCGAATATTTAGTAATGCACATATAAAAAATATATATAGAATAATAAAATATATTTACCGGTCTATAACATTTTTCCAAATTTCTTTATCTGTTTTATTAAATTCAGCTTCTAAAAGTGAAAAAAATTCCTCGATATCTAAAATGTGATCAGACTTTTTACCACTCAGGTCTTTTATTGTATCCTCATCATCTTCATGATTTTCTATTTTATTGTGCTGCTGACGCTCATTTAAAAAGGATTTAAGTGTATTGGAATGTTGATTTAAAAATGTAGTGACATTGGGAGGCAATGGCATAGCACGTACTCTAAGGGTGCAATGTTTATTTGGGGTGGAAATTATAACAACACCATGGTGATTGTTATGATCTTGAAAATAAAAAATAGAAAATGTTATTAAATTATAATACAAAATTAGTTTAAATAAATAAATTACATGTAATAATAAGTTTCATACCAAGTACCTGACGTTAAAACTATAGTTTCTCTAAAAGGAACAATAGGAGGAGAAACATGTATTTCAATCTTTGCAAATCTTTCTTTTAGATCTCTTAAACAACGCTTTTAATGATAATAGAAAATTGATTAAAATAAGATAAAACTTTTTTTTTTGTGACTAAGGATTTAAAAAGAAAAGCTTTTGATTATTAACCTCAAGGTGTACTTCACCTGCTGTTAGGATCACATGTTCACCTGTTTCTTGAACTAAAACTTGGACAGTGGGATCCGCTTGGTTGAGTAAATGGAGGCCTTCAATGAGCTGATTCATTTCGGCTATTACAAATATAATCATTAATAAATCGTATGAATTTTTTAGAATGTAAAATTTATATTATTGTAATTATATTATTAAATTCATTACATGGATCTGCTGGTTCAAGAGCAACTCTTACAATGGGTGCAGACTAGAAAAATTTTAAGCAGAAATAAATATATATTTATATTTTTGGAGTAAAGTATATAATTATTACCTCTAATGTGACTCTGGCAAGACTTTGACATTCTTTAGTGCTACTCAATGTGCCATTCTTAAGTATATGTCCTTCAAGATTTCCAACTCCAAACACATTACCAGCAGGAACTTCTTTGAGAGATTCAAGTTCTCTTCCCATGATCAAGTAAAGATTTTTAATAATTACTTCAGAGCAATATCTGTTTGGAAATGCAGGATCGTATTTTGGTCCCAATACAAAAAGTTTTTGCCCAACACGAATAGTACCGGAATAAAGACGAGCAAAACCAACAAAAACCTCTTTTGACTGAATAACCTCTTCCTCTTCGTCTAATTTATTAGATTCTGATTGATCTAGTAATTTATTGCTACTATTATTGTCATTATCATTATCATTATCATTTTTTTCAGGATGGGCAATCATGGCTCTTGACTCTGCTTCCTTTTGAGCTTTTCTTCTTTCTCTCAGTTCTTCAGCTGTTAAATGTTTCCGTCTGTTTTCTGGTAATAGTTCAGAAGGAACTGCGAACATTTTAGATACAAATGCAATTGCAGGTGCAGAATCATTAGAATCACATTTATACAATGAATGTTCAATCTCATTTTTAGGTGGGGCTGATATACTTGTATTTGGATATAAAATTTTTGGTAAGCGTACTTTTTGAGCAGCAATTGGTGAAGGAAGGTGCTCAATGACAGTAAGTGTGAAAAAGTTAAGGATAATAATAATGAATTTGGCAAGTTAAGAAAATAACAATAATCACGATAATTATAAAAGGATATGTAAAACAGCTTTTGATAATGGAAGCCATTGATTAAAAATAGAAGTTAATAAGATACGTGTATCTTTTGACCGCATATCTCTCGGTAAAACTTTTAAATTGAGAGATTTGACTATTTTGCCTATTTTTTCATGGTTGCTTGATAATATATGAAAAAATCAATAATTTTATAAATCAGCATTTATTTATGTGTCAAATTAAAATTTGTTATATTAAGAGCTTACTTGTTAACAATTACGGAATCGTATATTGACCAAATATTTTTCAAAACAAGTTGAACAAATATAGGGTCCAGTTGTCGTCCTTTCAAATGTTTGTGTTGCAAGAGCCGTTTTGTTTTCGGGTCAAGATAATAATCACCCCAAAGAACTTTATGAAGTGTATTTTCCTTTATACCTAGCTTTTCAGCGTAAATTTGAGCGAATTGTTCGATTCTAACATCCAATTCCGATATTACTGTAAACAAATGGTTTTTATACTTTGGAAAAAAAGTTTTTAAAACATATTATCAAGTACACTAGTTATACAAATTTACCTAAAGGCCCAGCCATCAATTGCACTAGAAAATATTACATTTCCTGAATCTGGCGAAAAATAAATGCTCGAGTCGTCGCGATCCTCAAATGTCAATTCGGTAGAGTTTGATTCTATGTGAGAACTTTCTTTTTCTTGTTGAGATAATTTTTCCTGAAAAGGTTTTTATATTAAAAATACTGTATATATATATGAAGATTTAGTTAGACTATTCACCTTTTCGGCTTCATGTCTTCTAGTCTCTTTCTCCATGATATCTCCAGCAAAGAGTGTGCCCATTATTGCATTAACTTGCTCGAGAATTTTATTTAGATGGGTATAAGCCTCCATTGGTGTTAATTTCAATTCAGTAATAAGTCGATCTATTTTATTCAAAACTAAAACTGAACGAACATTTTCTACCCAAACTTGACGGAGTACTGTGTGTGTCTTTTCAATGAAAGTTACACATATATAATACATGTTAGTCTCAATTAATTTGCACGCACACATACGCACACGCATATACACACCTGTGTACAAACACCTTCAACAACATCAACAAGAATTAATGCACCATCGCAAAGTCTTGATGCCGTAGAAACTTCACTTGAAAAATCAACATGTCCAGGTGCATCAATAAGGTTTATTAAATATTCATCAGGTTTTTTTAAAAGTTCTTTATTTATATAAATAAATAAAATAAAAGTGATTTCATAAAAATTAATGTCTTTTTTAAACGTATTGATTGAATCAAGAAAATCACTACATACCTTCCCCTTCTTTAGTTTCGCGCAAAACATTAAAATATAATGATATACCACTAGCTTCCATTGTTATTCCTCTTTCTTGTTCATCCTCTCTACTATCAAGATATCGTACCTTCCCTGCTAACTTATTGGATATTATTCCATTAGAAGACAAAAGTGAGTCCGATAAAGTGGTTTTACCATGGTCCACATGAGCTAAAATACAAAGATTTCTAATATTCTCTTGTTTAGATTGTAGTTTTACAAGTTGAGAAGTTGTTATAACTGGCATTTTCTTTTTTTTTTTTTTTTTAATAGAAAAATAAAAAATTTTTTTTGCCTATTTCAGCCATATGTTGTGTAATCAGCGATTAAGTATATTAGCTGTTGATAGTCGATCGCTGAATAATAAATAATAATAGATCCGATCTTTTTAATATTTGATATATTTGATTTACAAAATAAAAGGAGGGAGAAAAATATGCACAAATTACAAATTAGTGTAGGGACTTCGTATGATCCATCAACACACAAAATCATTCTTCCAAATGAAGAAAATCCATATTTCATCAATACAGAACATATTGTTGGTAGAATTGGTGTTCGTATCAGAGATTTTCAAGGCATAACTCCGTCCGGTAAAGATATAATATCATCAAGCAAATATTTTGAAAATAATAATTATCAATATTCAATACAAGTTCAAGCTAAGTTCAAAGGAAACAATAAATGGACAGCTGATGACATTGTTTTTGGGGTATAAAATGAAGTTTTTGGCGTTCTTGTTTAAAAAAAAAAACGCGTAAATTAATCATATCTTCTCTATAATAAATTATAGAATGACTTTGATCATAAAATAAATTTACCGCCCGGAAGTTGGCTCGGATTAAAAATCCTACAATGGATTGATCCAGGTTTAGAAGCAGATATCTATTCTGATAAACCATCGGCATTCTCACCACTATTATTCACAATGAATGTTATAAATCTACATTATGATGAAAATTCGGCAGATTTGCCTGATTGGCCATCATTCAACGGTAATCATATAATGGAAGGAGAAATATATTCTAAAAATTCCGATAAAATTATAAGTGCATGTAACACCAGTGATAGAAAAAAATATTTCTCCGTAAAGGAAAATAGGCAAGATTTTAAAATTACTCAAGATCAAATTTGGAATTTCGATTTCTTTAACTCTTATATAGATTTCAATAAGATCGCTGTAAAGGTATTTTCAAATTGTCGAAAAAAAAAAACAAAATTCATTTTAAATTTTTATTTCTTAATAATTTTAAATTTTAATTAGTTACCTGGATTCGAAATAAGTGTTCTACAATATTGGGATGGACAGGTGAAAGTTTTTTTTTTTTATTTTCATCATTGCAATTTTTATTAATGCTAACATCGATAATTATTATCTATTGTTTACTAGCCATTACGTTATGTGTGTAAATCAAGAGATTCTTCAGTAGTATTTTTTGTCGTAATATTTCAATTAATTGAAGTGGACCAAGAAAATATCAGTGAAGTAGAAGAAATTTTATCAGATGAGGAAAGAATTCAACAACTAAAAATTGACACTTCGCCATTGATTAATAAATTGATTGAAGAACAGAGAAATAAAGAAAAAGAATTATTTAAAAAAATACAAGATGAAAATGATTTAACGCCAAAATCAAATGCGATCTGGTCATCTGTGAAATCCCCGTCTATTTTAAAAATTCCAAAGTTAAAATTGTCTTATGAAGATAAAGATGATCATGATTTATCAAATTTAAATCTTTCATCTTCATCATCAATTAATGAATGACTCATGATTTTATTAATCATGCATGGTGACAACATGGTAAAAAAAATGAATGATGGAAAAAATATTCTTTGCTACATTTAATTATATGGGAAAGGATACAATAAAATAGTAATAACAGTAATATAGCATAATATTAATAATTAGGAATCAGGCTTTTCAATTTTTTTATTGTATCTATTCCAGTTCTGCTCTCTTTTTAATCGATCATCTGATTTCAAAGAAAAATACTTTAAACAATAACAATAAAGATTAAAAAATTGCGTAGATTTTAATTTTAAAAAGAGTAAAATATAATGATATTTATTTTCTAACCTTTTCTCTAAATAAATAGTGACTGGGTTTCTTTTCTTCAGTTTGTTTGCAATCTGTAACATCGTCTTTATCCTCCTGAAGAAACAACAAAGAATCCTCCGAATGCTCTTTAATATTTACATGTGTTTGATGATCTATTATATATTCTTTCACTTTTTCCATTGTTATCAAACGTCTACTCCATTGTCCAAATCTCTGTTCACTGTTGGAAATTAACTCTATACAAGGATGAGTTGGTATGTCAGTGCTGGAATATCTACATTAATAGATTTTTTGAAGTAGGAAAAAAAAAGGTAAATGATAGATCTGACTAACTAAATATTATAAATAATCTATTTAAAGATAATAATTCAACATATCTATAATTGATTTTAAAAAAAAGACATACTCATCCACAACATTTGGTAACCAATATACCAATCTTCCACCAACCACTAGATATTTTGCTGAAAACTCCAATAGATCAATAAGTAATTGTGACATTTCATATGGCTTTGTTGGTGGATAATAATCTTGATGTCTTTGATTAATATAATAACAAAAGTATATATATAATTTTGAAAAATTTTGCTTCTTTGAAAATTTATTTTTTTACAAATATAATAAATACTACTTGTGCGCTGGAATTCCATCAATTAAATGTGTTTTGATTGGTTTTTTTGTTGGATCCTTTCTACCAAGTGTTTTAGCTCCTGCTCTAACACCATATGGTGCTATATTATTTATTATCATTATTTTTTAATTATTTTTCATTTTTATTATTATTATTAAGCACTACTAATATATTTATTTGAAAAAAGTTACTTACGATCTGTAATTATTGCATCAAACAAAGTACCTTCTCTCCATGGATGATGGACAATATCAAACACCAAGTTATCCAAAACTCTATCTTGAAGTTGATATTGTTTTATATTTGATTTAATAGATTCATTACCTGATAAAATAAAATATTCAATAATATATTTTCATGAGCTAAAAAAGATATCATCAATAACGATATCGATTGGATAGAATTTCTTTAGTTGATACCTTGACCACGAATTTGTCGTCCATCTATATCAGATCCAATTGTATACGCTCCAAAATGTGAACATGTAAACAGAAAGCTACCGGTTCCAACAAACGGATCATATATCAATTTGCCTGACGATGCCTTTTTTTTTTTTAGAGAGGGAATAAAAGCAAAAATAATTGTAAAACTTTCCTTTAATTGGAAATCGTTATGAGAAGAAATAAATGGCAAATTAGACAGACACACCAATGCTTGGTTAGCCATAATTAATGATAGTTCTGCATCCATGGATGTATTTCCAATATAATTACGTTTTTTCAAATTAAACTTATTTACAAGATCCCTATTTCCCGATGATAACTAAATAATAAATAAAAACACTATTGATGAGGTAAAGATTTAGATCACAATACATATGTACATGTATATGTATGTAATGTAATGTATGTACCAATCGTCCAAAATAAATCATATAAGGCTGTGATGGCGGGATAGCTTGATTAACATCCATTCCATAATCTTCTAATACAGCAAATTGTACTTGTGGATTCTTCAAATCAATATCACCTTTGAACCCAAGATAAGAAAATGAATTAATGATACGAACTTGATAATCTAATGAGCATGTAGATCCAAAAGCTGATACTGAAAATTTAAATGACATATAATCATATTGAGGCTAATTCACAAATAAAAAATTAGTGCTAATGATTTATTTTCTTTAAAAATTATTATATTAAAAAAGATTCACATACCCATCTTTCAGGTTTTGCTTTAACATGCGAGTGTATTTCTTCGTATGTTTTTTCTACTGCCCATAATTCATAAATTTTTCTATATAATAAACGAAATTGAATTGTATTAGATTTTATCAACACGTCAATTATATAATTTACATGTTTTATAGAAAAACAAACCACCTTATTAATATAGCACGTCTGACAAGTCTGACAGCTTCTTCTTCAGTTTCAATTTCTAATGTTAGAAATGGACACTGTACAACATGCTCGATTAATATATACACGTAGGAAATACTTTTTACTTTTTGAAAATTCTATTGTATATATATATTGATAAAATTACATCTTTTTTGTATTCTTCTTTGTCATAAACAATTTTAACATTTTCTATCTTTGCTAAAGACTCGAGTTCAGGCAAACGAAATTCTTCGTGAGCTTTGATACATGAAAATTTTTAAAAGTTAATAACAATCAAACTGTTTATTTATTGGTTTATATTATTAACAAAGTCAAGTTGATAATAATTTTAATGGTTACGATAATGAATTTACACACACTGAGCAAATTGTATAAAATATTTTGGCATTTTTTCTCTTGGAAAATGATTTCAAAAAATTATCCGCAGTGCTGCAGAAATCGCAGAAACATCAGATTTGGGGTATCAAAAGCAGAAATGGAATAATTCTGAATATCTTTCTATTCTTGTTAATATTAATAATGGTGCATGTTAGAAAGTCATCTTTCAGAAACTAAAAAATTTTAAATATGATGTATTATAATTCTAATTAATTAATTATACAATAATTATATATATATATATATATAACAATGATTTTAATGAAATAATTTTTATTATTTTAAATTCATTTCCCTGAATTCTTCTTTAATAAATAATATTAATATAGAAATTCGTCGTCCCTGCAGCCAAGCCAGCCAGCCAGCCAGCAAGCGCATAAAATTCAGTGTGCGTACCACGTTACACGTTAAACATTGTATATACTAGTTGGTTGAATTTCAGATTTTTTAAATTGCATTTTTCAAACTCAGGGTCCTAGAATTGTAGAAAGCAGGTTTTTTTTAAAAAAATTCAAAATTCCCCAATTCTTAAAAATGTCTATACCAATTTTATATAATAAACCTTCAGAGGAAGAATACGAGGTAATTTCATTATCATTATATAAAAATATCAGTACAAGTAGAAAAAATTCATGTTTGATAAAAATTATTTAAGCAAGAGATTATTGACTAAATATATTTTCTTTTTTTTTTATTGATATGTAAAAAAGGTTGAAAAAATTATAGATCAAAAAACAGAAGAAAATGTAAGATTGAGTTATCTTTTGACTTGAGATTAAAATTGTTAACTGTGTTTTTCTAAAGTTATAAAATTTACTATTATTTTTGATATTTTATAATACAAGTACTTAAAATAAAAATAAAAATTCTATATAATATAGGGCATTATATATTACCTTTTAAAATGGAGGGGATATGATGATTCCTATAACACTTGGTAAGGCGTTATTATTATACTGAAAAAATGAGCGAATTACATTAATATTCATCTCATCATTATATTAAAATGGGTTTTTATTTTATTAATCTTAGTATTTCATCTATCATATTTATATAAACGCACATAAATTAATTAATTAATTAGGGAACCATTTCAAAATCTTAATTGCTCAGAGCTAATTAAACAATACAAAAGAGAACTTCGGTTAAAGAGTGAAATGAGTTTAAATGTAAAAGCTGATTGTTCTGGACCAAATACATTATCATTCAAAGAATTTCTTAGAGTGAGATTATTTTTACATGGAATTTTTAAATTTTTTTTTTTTTTATTTTTTTGAACAATCAATTGAATTTTATTTTATTTCTTTGTTTTTATTTTTTTATAATTAGAGAAAAAGACAAACAAAAGGTGTTATTGATTTTGAAACTATGTTGAACAATAGTGTTAAAGATGGGCCAATCATTCCTGTTATCAATGAAATAGATGATGAAGGGCCACCACCTAATTTCACATATGTAGATTATTATATATATGGAAATAATGTTCCAAGGCCTGAAAATTTAAAGGGAGGCTTAGCAGGCTGTGATTGTGATGAAGGAAGTTGCAAAGGATATCAATGTAAATGTTTTAATGAACATAATCAAGGTAAATTAAATTATGAAAGATATACACATCAACTGCGTGTAAAACCAGGGAATGCAATATATGAATGCAATTCCAAATGTTCCTGTAGTATTGACTGTCCTAATCGTGTGACTCAATGGGGACGTAAGGTACCTTTAGCAATACAAAGATTTAAAGAAAAGGGTTGGGGTGTTGTAGCAATTAAAAAAATATCCTCTGGGGCATTCATTACATATTATTATGGTGAATTAATAACCACAGAAGAGGCTGATACAAGAGGCACAACTTATGACGAAGTTGGTAGGACTTATTTATTTGATCTTGATTTCTCTACGGCAAATGATCAAAATCTCTATACAATAGATGCTAGTAATTATGGAAATATATCACATTTTTTAAATCATTCATGTGATCCTAATTTAATTGTTGTGCCTATAGTAAATGACAATGCTGATATAAGATTACATCACGTTGCATTCTTTTCAAAAAGAGATATTGCCCCTGGTGAAGAGTTAACTTTTAATTATAATGGTTCAATTGAATATCCTGAAGAAATATCTGAATACTTGGGCGAAGATGAAGATAATACAAAATTCAAAAATAAATATATTTGCAAATGTGCTTCAGAAAATTGTAAAGGCTACTTTCATTCTTAAAAATTCTCATCAACAATATAAATTTTTTTTTCAAAAACTCTTAAATCAATTAATAATTTATTGATACATATAGAAATTAGAATTCAATTTTGTTTATTTTACTTTTCAGAATGTAATAAATATAAATTAATAATTTATTTACCTGAACTTGGTACTTTAAAATCTAAATTTTCAGCCCCCCGAATTGTGTGAAATTTAATATTAATTGGTATGGTTTTTGAGCTAAATTTATGCCTCATATAAAGATGATACTAACTAACCCAAAATTGGTCAGAAATGAGTTGCCTCATTTCTATTCAATCATCATTGAGCCAATAAACAAAAATTTTGGCCAATGAAATCAAATGTTCACCGAACCAGGGCTGGTTGCGTAACTCAAATGAGCACTTGGCTAAACTGACTAAACTATTTAGTCATATGTTAAGTCAAGTTTAGTCAAGATAATTATTACTAAATTAGGTTTTTAACACCTTCATGCTGCCAGCCCTGATCTGAACAAATCGAATTTTAGATTGATTTAATTCGTTCTGTACTCGATTTGATTTGATTGAATCAAACCGGATTCCTAAAATTTTTTTTAATGTCATATTAACATAGTAATAGTAAATCTCAATTTAGTGTACATGCCTCGATTTAATGGATCGAGATCCAATAATGGTTTAATAATAATAATAATAATAATAATAAAATTTTTCTAATCCTCAAATTATATTTTTAAATTTAATTTATAAAGGATATTATTTAGTGATGGTGGCTGAAACTATTTTTGAAAAAGGTAGTTTTGCTTTTATAATAACAAACATATAAATCAATCTACTTTAAAAATAATTTCGCGCAATTTCAGCTATTATTAAATTTAGTTTTGCCGAGTCTAGGCCAATCGGCAATTTCGGTCCACTAAGTAAGGTAGTTTCACTAATATTACTATTAATCGATAACAATAATGATGACAAATAAAAAAGCAATAAAATTCACAATTGCGCACAATTCATTAATAAATTCATTAAATCTAAATAATGAATATAACTAATGAATGATAATGATTGCTATTGATTCGAATCAGTTCAAATTGATTCAACGGTGCAGATCGTTTATAATCATTAATTGCTTATAGTAACAATTGGTCAACTTCAAAATACTAAAACAAAAAAAAATTATCTCATTTTAAAAAATTTAACCGATAAGTTTTATTGTTCATGACTCAGGCTTCAAAACTTATCGGCAGCTTTTTTCTTAAACTGAAAATTGGCCGAGCCTTAGCATTTTGAAAATTCCGAATTTTGTTATACACTTAAAAAATTGAGACCAAGTAAATTTCGTGCAACAACTTTTTTTTCATAGAATATTTTCTACAACATACATTTGATTTATTTGATTTATTTATTTCTTTTTTTTATTAATAAATAAAAGTTATTTACAACAAAAAATTTTAACGAACATATCAAATTTGGTCGAGAGATTCAAAATATTGCAACACGAAAATTATTGTTGTATTTCTGAGCATAACTTTCAAATTTAAAAAATCTATGAAAAGAAAATTCGAGACAAATTTTTTTTTAGATTAATAGACCCCCTTTTTAAAGCTGAATTGAATGGCGGTGGGTTTTTTTAAAATTCAATGTGTGGTGGATAACTTAATATTTCAAAAATTTTAACTTTTGAGTATAGATGATCCGCACTGTATACCGTGTATTCAAATTGAATCAAAGTACAATTCGGATTCGATTCGGATCCGATTTGAATGAAACGAATCAAAATTAGTCGATTCAAATTGATTCGAATTGGTTCGAATTTCATTGATTCACTCGGAACCTTACTAATTTATAGCTTAATGACGATTTTGTCTTTGCTTTCTTTTCTTTCTCGCATAAACTTATTATTTTTTCTTCAATATCTATTTCGTAGATAATCACATCAAATTTCCAGGGAGACCAATGTATTCATTTATTAGTTATAAATCATGGTTGTTTATAACTATGTGATGGAGGAGAAGAAACCATAGGAGCTGGATAAAACTCCATCTCATTACTCGGATTGTTTAAGGTATTTGAAACATTCATTATTTTTTTGATTGTAGATTAATTGGCCTAAATAGTGAAATAGAATCAATTCGCAAAATTTGAGCCAAGTCAGGCCAAGCTTTAGTCCAAATACAAATGCGATCTGATTTTTGCACAACACTGTATTAACAGGAGCACAATTTCAATGTGGACTACCATACCTCATCTTTCTTGTCCTCCTCGAAAAAGGATTTCCTCCAGCATCTGCAATCATCTCTTGATGTTCACTTAAATCGAATGAGTGACATAGATAGCAACAAATGACTTTGAGAGTAATGTAACTTATGCGCATGATTTCTTCTGTGGTGAATTTACTTCAGCTTCACCAGTTTCATTGAAAGCTCTAGATAATCCCTAGAGGTTATTTTTTGAAAGTTTTGTCTGCCAGTAACACCATGCAGATTCATACTGTTCATAGGATGTATCCGGTTTACTGACATCTGCTTTACAAAATATGAGGTTAGTTGTTCATAATAACAATTCACCGTTTGCATAAACATCACTACCAGGATAAAATTCTGCAAAGCTTTTTTCTGTTCACAAATCAGTTCTTCACAATATACTGAAACCTCTTATCTGCACGCTCAGTTTTGACCCATTGAATAAAAATATAAATGAGAATATGCTTATTTCCATCAAAGTAAAAAACTAAATCAGTAAAGAAAATAAGTCAAATAAGTTGTAAATAATGGTGGCTGGGATGAGAACCAATGCTCCTAATCTGGATAAAAGCAGATAGAAGTTCACCAATCCATTGCTTGGGTTGGTACGAAAACCAACACTCTTAATCTGGATAAAAGCAGGTAAGAGCTCCCTTAAACAAAATATAAAGATACATTACTCGCAAATTTGTTGGATTTATCTCTTTTGCTTTGAATAAAAATATACGGACCCAGGTGCTGTCAAGAGCAAGCCATTCTTCTGAAGAGCATACTTATGTGAGAATTATACCATGATGGAGGTTCAAAAAATCAGCATAAGACCATGTTTCTTTCTCCTTTAAGTAAAGCACAAGTTCTAGAATATCCAGCACTTAGAAACATCATGTGATTTTCGGTATTTTGTATCGTTTGTCGAAAACACTTTTTGAAAATTTCGCCCACAAATATAGTTTTCCCATTTGTGTTTTCGGAGCCAACTATAGTTATATGCTAAAATGGTAAAAAAATTGAGCAAAGTTTTTTAATAATCCGGTTTTTCGAACCGAATTTATTATTAAGAGTACAAACAAATACTAATACTATTATAATCAACAAATCGATCATAAAAATTTTTTTTAAAATAAAAATTTAAAAAATGAGTCAATTAGAAGTAAAATCGAAAACTAATGCAGTCCCTATCATGTTTACTGAGGGAGAGCTTGCAAAACTTCATAAACCAGGTGGTAATCCACAAATTAAACCTGAGTTAATGGAACAACATTTGAAAGAAACTGGTGGTAAGGTGGTAACTCGATTTCCTCCAGAACCTAATGGATTTTTACATATTGGTCATGCAAAAGCTATCAATGTAAATTTTGGATATGCTAAAGCACATGATGGAATATGTTATCTAAGGTTTGAATCAATAACGTTAAACTAAGATGATTAATTTATCAATGATATTTACTATATAACAAATTAACATTGATAGATATGATGACACTAATCCTGAAGGTAAAAATCTTTGTTTACACTTTTAAATCAATCAATCAATTAATCAAAAGAAAATGTGCATATATATTTTATATTAATGTATTGTTTTATCTAATGATAGCTGAGGAAGAGATTTATTTTACTTCTATTAGAGAAGCGGTGGAATGGTTAGGGTTTTCACCATACAAGATCACATATTCTTCTGATTATTTTGACAATCTTTATGAATTGGCAATAGAATTAATTAAGCGTGATAAAGCATATGCATGTTCATGTACACCTGATGAAATGAAACAGATGCGAGGTGGTGATGATCATGGAGAACGTAAAGAGTGTGTGCATCGTAATCGTCCAATTGAAGAATCACTAGCTGAATTTCAAAAAATGAAGGAGGGAAAGTACAAGGAGGAAGAGGTAACCATTCGTATGAAGATGGACATGCAAAGTGGAAATCCACAATTTTGGGATTTGGTTGCGTATCGTGTTTTGCACACACCACATCATAGAACTGGAACCAAATGGTGTATTTATCCAACTTATGATTTCACACATTGTCTTTGTGACTCTTTTGAAAATATTACACATTCACTTTGTACACTTGAATTCCGGACAGCTCGTGAATCTTATTATTGGTTATGTGATGCTCTTGAAGTATATAAACCTGTTCAATTTGAGTTTAACAGGTTTGGTTTTTTTTAATTATCATTATTTTATTAATTTTTTAAAAAATATTATACAACTAATATATATATATATTAATTGGTTGGTTGGTTGGTTGATTGGTTGGTTGGTTGACTTATTGATTGGTAGATTGAGTATTAATAATACAGTTTTATCAAAACGAAAAATAGCAAGATTAGTTAATGAAAAATATGTAAAAGGTTGGGATGATCCACGGCTATATACACTACCAGCTTTAAGAAGACGTGGTATCCCACCAGAAGCCATTAATCAATTTGTTTTAGAACTTGGTGTGACCACATCAAATTCAACAATTCAAGTATCACGTTTGGAAAAATATGTTCGTAACTATTTAGATGTCAATGTTCCAAGATTAATGATCATTATAGATCCTATTAAAGTAATAATTGAAAATCTACCTGATGATTATGTTGAAGAATTGATTGTTCCTTTCAAACCAAGAGAGACATCTATGGGAGAGGTAACTATTTCATATATAGAGAGAGAATCTTTAATTATTACAAAAAAAAATTTTCAACATGCACGTGATGGATGATATATTAATAACAAATAAATAAATGATTTTTTTAGCATGTAGTACCATTTAGTAAAGTAATTTATATTGAAAAAGATGATTTTAGAGAAGAAGACTCACCAGATTATTATCGTCTTGCAATTGGTAAAACAGTAGGCTTATTACATGTTCCACATTGGATCACATGCACAGGATTAAAAAAAGACACAAATGGAAATATAGAACATTTGATATGTCGGTATGAGAATGTAACTCCAGTTACAGTTAAAAAACCTAAAACATATATCCATTGGGTAGCAGAAACACCTACCACCATCAATAAAAATCATCAATCTCCAATTCGATTATCAAAAGTTCAAATATATAATAATTTATTCATATCAGAAAATCCAGATGGGAATCCAAATGGTTTCTTGGCAGATATAAATCCAAATAGCTTAGAAATTGCTACTAATTCATTAGCAGAAGTTGGATTAAAAGAAATTATTACCAGATCATCACTATCATCATTTGACTATTCTAAAAAAAATTATGAGAATGTTCGATTTCAAGCTATCCGTGTTGGTTATTTTTGTCTTGATAAAGATTCTGAATTAGTTCATGATGATGATGATGGCGAGAAGAATAGTTATATGTTTAATAAAATTGTTTCTTTAAAAGAGGATCCAAAAAAAGACTTGGACAACAATTCAAAAAGGGACTCAAAAAGGGACTCAAAAAAGGATTCAAAAAAGGATTCAAAAAAGAATTTAAAAAAAGAATTAAAAAAAGAATTAAAAAAAGAGTCAAAAAAAAGTGAAGAAGTTTAATGAATATTTATTTATTTATCAAAAATTAATAAAAATTTTTAAGTAGCCTTTTGTATATTTTAAAAAAATAGCAAACATATTTACCACCTGCAATTCTTATCATTATTGTTACTTTCATCATGATATAGTGTCCTTGTCAGTAAGGAGAGATTCACTAGGTATAACCCTTGTAGATGGTATTGTATTGCCCATACTAATCACACAGAATTTTATACTGAATCCTTTGTGTTGGATTTAAGCATTGGTGTGGTATGATATATAACCATTTTATTAACACTTATACAATACAATCTGCAAGGGTTATACTATATATATTATATTGAATGTCCATATACTCTGTTCTTGTTCAGTTTATTCAACAAAGATCAAAATATTTTGCATGAGATCTTTTTTTAGAATTGCTTGTCCTACAAAGACTGCTTTGCAATAGTAATAGTAATAGCACAATTTCAGAATTTGGTTTTGTTTTATTCGAATTGAAACCCTGTTAACATGGCTTGTTTGTTTTTTCCTTTTTTTTTCAACTTTTCTTTTTTATTAGATTATTTTCAAAATCATCATCGTAACTATCATATTCATCTAACCATTAACTTCTGAGTGAAACTTTAAATTTGCTACACAAGGAATCCGTTTGGTTTGAATAATCATTCAATGTGATTTGAATGCTCGAAATCAATCACGAATCATTCAAATCATTTGAGTGAACCTTATTCAAATAGAAACCTTACTTTGCAATGAAATGCTAGGACATGTTAAAAAAAGGATTGGACTTATATGAAACGTATTTGGAAACCCATATGTGAAGAAGTGGTCCAATTAGAAAATACTACTATATAAGAAAGAAAATTAAAAAGCAACATAATGATAATTCTATAGTTTTAATAAAGATACAACCAATTTATCAAACGGTTCGGAATATGCAATTGCATCATGTGGATTTTATAACCTTTTATTTTATCCATGTTTGAAATACCAAACATTAAATCTTAATCCCTTTTGGGCCTGGTTTAGTAGGTAACGATGAAAGTTAGTTTCGTGATGAATTCTATCAATTTAATAATATATATTGATTCAGAAAATATGATCCAAGAGATATTAAAGAAATATGATCATGTTGATAGCTAGAATTTTATTAATGTTGGATCGGAACCATTCGTAGGAAATTTTTTTTGACAATCACCAAAAGATTATTGACACATGCATTGTGAGATATAGGTTGGCTAAGCAAATTTTTAATTCATGTTTCGCCGATCATGTTAATAATGATCTGCAGAGATAAGTTAATTATAATTTTTTCTTCTAAAAAAGAATCTCACGTTGTCTATATAATAAATCCAATGAATACCAATAAAAATTACCACGTAACTTTACTTTCTAAAGGTGAGATTGTTCCTAATTTACATTATGGAATAAATGCTAAAGAATGGTGGATTCAAGCT